CTGCAGGAAGATTCGGTCAGTGATGGTGCCGGCAGAGCTGCAGGCCTCGTCTAGCACGGCCAGGATGCCACGGTGAGGCCGCTCCACCAGGTCCACGATGATGGCGTTGTTGAAATACTCAACCTGGGACGGATGCAGCCAGCAGAGAGGCTCCTAAGACCCTTCAGGCCACCTCCCCTCCTCCGCCCTACACTCAGCCACCTGCCAGGCCAGTCCGGGCCCCTCCCCAGGGGCTGAGGCCCCTCCACACCCTGCCACCTGCCCGCCCTCCAGGCCACAGTGCTCACAGTCTGCCAGGTGATGCCCTCGCGCTCGTACTCCTCCTGCTCCTGCTTCAGGATGAGCCGGATGAATAGCTGCTGCAGCTTCTCATTGCAGTAGTTGATGCAGAACTGCTCGAAGCTGGGGGTGGGGTGGGCTTTTCAGAGGAGAGGTTGCTGCTTGTGGAGTGCATGGTAATGGCTGGTAACTCCTGAACATCTCTGGTAATGTTCATGGAGGGTTCTGGTGCCAGCACCCCATGTGGCTTCCCTGCCCTGGACTCCCCCTTTACTCCACCCACACCTCCTGCATGTGCATTCTGGAGTGGACATGGGAGTCACAACCAGGAGTTACTCATCCCTCGTAATTCTGCCTTCCATCAGGGCACCAATGGCCGGGGGATGCAGCTGAGGCAGGCTTGGGAGCCATGAGCCTTGGGCCCAGGAACCAGCTGGGAGAAACCCACACATTCTTGCTGCCCAGCCCCAGCCAAGGTTTCCAGGACTAAGTGGGCAAGGCCGCTGGGCATCAGAGGTGGAGACGTGGTTGGCCAGCCACCCACCTGTTGACGGGAAACACCTCGAAGCCATAGATGTCTAGCACGCCAATGACTGTGTCCTTGCCATCACGCCGAGGGTCCCGGTCCCGGGGTTCCATGACACTGTTGATCCTGTTCACCACCCACTCAAACAGCCGCTGGTACACAGCCTGCGGGATAGGAACACCATGCTTCCTGCTGCCTCTGGACTGGCCTCCCCCATGAAGACCTCCTGGACTTCCCTCCCTGTGCCTGCCCCCAAAGTACCTTGGCACAGGCATCCCGGGCGTAGCTGGCCTCAGCCGCAGTGTGGCCCTTCTCTATGAGTTCCCTGCCTCCTGAGGCAACTGTGCGAGCCAGCAGGGAGCGGAGCACAAGGTCCCGGGGTGTGGCTGTCAGCTCAGCCACATGGTCCACCAGTGCCTCCTCGGCCACTGCCAGGCCCTCCTTCTGTGGCCCATCCTCCTCTGTCTCTACAAACTCGATGTTTCCCTGGTGATGGGAAAACCATGAACAGTCCAGGCTCCACGTCCCAAAGGAGCCTGGACAACTTTGGACAGGAAGGAGGACGGAGAGCAGGGGACATGGATGCAGTGGAGCCCAGCTCCTTCTCAGACCAGCGTGGTCAGCTGGCCACCATGGGCACAGGCACAGCCAGAGATTGGGGGAAGGGGTACACCGGAGTCTTTGCCAAGGCCTTGAGTCCAAATGATATGTGAATGACCCCATTGCATCCTCCCAGCAGCCAGAGGAGCCCTGCAGTACTGAGAGAACTGAGGCCAAGAGGCACTGAGTAATGCACCCAAAGCCACACATGACTGCACTAAGAGGCGGTCTGTATGATGCTCAGCTTTTACTGTGCTCGGCCGCCCTGGCCCTAAGAATGGGCTCTGTACCACATACCAACTGAGCTTATCACTCAAGCAGCTCAGTTTCTTCAGAAGAGACAGTCAGCCCAGCCACATTGCTGGGGAATCTCCAGCCAGTCTCCTCCTCCTCCTTGGGTGCCTCCTGGAAACCCCGTGGGGAGGTAGCTGGGAAACCCCGGTGGGGAGGTAGCCCTCCCAGACCTCTGAGCCAGACTCACCAGGTGCAGTATGGTAGCCAGGATGCGATACACAGACTCCACCTCTTCAGGACTGAAGCCAATGACCCTCATGGCCTCGATCACTGCCTGGTGGCTCCGCTCATCACTGTCCAAGGCCTAGGGGAGAAGGATCCATCACTCCAAAGCCACACTGAGCCCAGGACACCTGTCCCCCTTGAACCTTGATTCCTCCATCCCAGGCACCTGATCACCCCTGTCCCCTGTCCCCTCCCTGAACCCTGATTCCTCCAGCCTCAGCACCTGCTCACCCCTGCACTCTGTCCCCTCCATCAGCCATTTTCCCTCCGTCCCGAGCACCCTCCCCACTCACCCAAACAGTTCACATTACCCTGGCCTGTGCTGAGTGCTGCCCATTCCCTGCCACCACACTCAGGCCCTGACACTGAGCCCAATTTGAGCCCTTGGTGCCCCTCACACTCACACTGTGCACAGTCATGTTGAGTCCTGCTCCCTGGCGTGTGAAATTATATACAGCAGGGTTTCTGTCCAAGTGCAGTTCATGCAGCTGCTTGTCCTCACTGCCTCTCAGCAACTAGAGGACACAGACACCCTTTAGACAAATAAGCTCCCAGGATGTTCCCCCGTACACACACAGAGGCAGGAGAACAAACAGACTTGTGCTTCCTTCCAGCATTGAACCAACAAAGACGGAGGAAGGTCAGACAGTGTGAACATTTTCTGTGTGCCAGTGAGCTCCGTTTTGCTGTTCAGTGGGTGACGGAGCTCCACTTCAGTGGGAGCTATGACTCTGCCGTGAAGACACTGTCTTTGTGCCAGATCTCATCTTGGTGGGGAGCTCAGACCTTGTGGTGATACTGCCCTAGACCCAGGGGGATCCCACCTCAGTAGGCAGCTCAGTTCTGTGGAGACATGGCTCTCTTCCCAGGGAGAGCCCACATCCTAGGGGGCTCAGCGTCTGTGGAGACACGACCGGTGCCGCATTAACTCCCACCTCAGCAGGGAGCTCAGAGTCCATAGAGACACTGCCTATGTCCCAAAAGTTCCCACTTCACTGGAGGGAAGAGTCCATGGAGATCTTGCTGTTATTCCAGAGGGCTCCACTTCAGTGGGAGCTCAGAGTCTGTGGAGACGCTGCCCTGTGTCCCAAGGGCTCCCCCCAGTGGGAAGCTCAGATTCCACAGAGACAATGGTCATGTCGCAGAGAGCTTCCACCTCAGAGGGGAGTGGAGTCTATGGAGACACTGCCCATGTCCCAGGGAGCTCTCAGCTCCGTGAGGAGCTCAAAGACCATATGGACACCGCCAGTGGCCCAGACAGCCCCACTTCGTGGAAGCTCAGAGTCTGCATGGACACCTCCTGTGTTCCAGGGGGTTGAGGGAAACTCAGAGTTCTTGGACACTGCCTGAGTCCCAGGGAGCTCCACTTCAGTGGGAGCTCAGAACCCATGGACACACTGCCACTGTGGGTAAGCCCCACATCTGGGCACTGAGGAAGGAGAGCTAAGCAGATCCCCGGCACAATTAGTGCCTGAAGAATATCCTAGTTTATAGTGTTATTACTCAGTTGTTTCCTTTATATAATTCTTCATATATAATCATGTATTAGTTTATAGTTGGAATAATTAGTGCCTGAAGAATATCTTACTACTCAGTTATTTCCATATATATATATATATAATTATATCGTAGTTCATAGTCAGAGGAATAAGGGATAAACAGCTATATATTTATAAGTATGTCTTGCTTATAGTTGGAGGAATGTCTAGTGCAGACAGAGTGCAGAGCATGATTTAAGGGAAAAACAGTTATACCAGGACAAGAATCTTTGACCCAGGCAGCAGCATTCAGTATTGTAAAGATACCCTGCTGTATGGTAGGCTTGGAGCAAGAGCCTCTCCTCCTGAAAAAGGAGTTGTAGCACCTTGCGTCCAGTTCTTGCGGAAGACCGCCATCAGACCAGCAATCCTGTGAGCCTCCGAGGGCTTAAAACTCCTCCAGTATAACCGCACTTGGTGACTGTATAACTTGTCAGCTCTCTAGCTACTGTGCTGATTCAGATCATCCCCCTATAGAAATCACTGGAAGCTGCCAGCAGGTGGCCATGGACCTCGTCAGCTCTGTTGCCGCTCAAAGTAACCTCCTGTAGAATTCCCTAGAAGTAGCCTGCCTCTAGATAGAGACGTCGCACACTGCACCCTCTTCACTGCGCACAGCCCTCCTCCTTGCCTCGGTGACCTAATGAGGGTGGACCTCTTGCTTATTGCTCATGTGATTGTCTTGACTCTATCACTGTCCTTTAAGATGACCTCACTCACTATCATTCCCCCTGTCTCGTACCCAATAAATACAGACACTTCTGGGCGTTTGTGGCCTTGCCTGTCACGGTTTGTAAGTGGCGTGGCCCCCTGAGTCCAGCTGTCTTTTCCAGTCTGTCTGTGTCCTGTCTCTTTACTTTTCAGATCCAGTGCCTCAGCACAGTGATAGGGGACACCCCATGACCCTGTAGGGCTGTGGCCCTACACACCACTGTCCCAGTGAGCTCCACTTTGGTGGGAGTTCAAAAGCCAAGGACATATTTCCCTGTCCCAGGGGGCTCTTACCTCAGAGCAGAGCCCAGAGTTGGCAGAGACACTCCCTGTGTCCAAGACCAGGCCCACCTGAGTGGGCAGCCCAGAGTCCATGGAGACACTGCTTCACGTGTCCCACTGAGCTCCCACGATGGTTGGTAGCTCAGAGTCCTTAAAGACACTGTGCATGCTCCAAAGAGCTCCATTTCATAGGAGTTCAGAGTCTGTGAAAAAAACTCCGTGTCCCAGGGAGCTCCTGCCTCAGTGGAGAGTTCATAGTTCACGGAGACCCTGCCCAAATTCCATGGAGCTCCCATCTCATGGGGAGCTCAGAGTCTGCGGAGACCCTGGCAACATCCCAGGGGGCAATCCCCTCATCGGGGAGCTCAGAGTCATTAGAGACACTGCCATGTGCCAGCGAACTCCCTCTTCAATCGTGAACTGTGAGTCCAGGGAGACCCTGCCCACGTCCCAAAATCTCACACTTCAGTGGGGAGGTAAGAGTCTGTAGAGACCCTGCCAGAGGCCCACGTGGGCCCCGCCTGCAGCAGCTCCAAGTCATGCCAATGGCCCACTAAGAGGAGGTGAGTGTGTCCAGCTTCGGGTTCCACTGGGCGGTGGAGCAGCACAATGGCAAGACCATTTTCGCCTCCTTTTTGGGTTCTAAGGACACTAGAGGGGAAAGCTGGTGCCCCGACTGCGTGCAGGCTGAACCAGTCACACGAGAGGGGCTGAAGCACGTTCGTGAAGGATGTGTGTTCATCTACTGCCAAGTAGGAGACAAGCCTTATTGGAAAGCTCCAAATAATGGCTTCAGAAAAAAACCTGATAGTAACAGCAGTGCCTACACGACTTAAGTATGGAACACGTCAAAAACTGGTAGAATCTGAGTGTCTTCAGGCCAACCTTGTGGAAACGTTGTTCTCTGAAGATTAAGATTTTATGATGGCAATCATGTCTTGATTTCCTGATTTGTTCTAGTATCAAAAAACTGTATACTTGCTTTGAATTCATGTTAGCAATAAATGATGTTAAAAAAAAAAAAAAGCGAGAGAGAGAGAGAAAGAGATCCTGCCAGAGTCCCAGGGAGCTTCATTTCTGTGAGTGCTGTGATTGGGGAGGCGCCCTCTGTGTTCCCAGGGCCTCCCACCAGGGGGATGCTCAGTCTTTGGAGACACTGCCAGGGTCTCAGGCTGCTTTCACCTCAAGGAAAGCGCAGAGTCCACAAAGACGCTGCTGGTTTCCCAGTGAGCTCCCACCTCAGCGCAGACTCACTGGAGAGTTCCCAGGGGGCTCCCACCTCAGTGGAGCTGAGTCCTTACAGACACTGCCTGTGTCCCAGGCAGTGTGATTTCAGTGGGAAGTCAGAGCCATCAGGGAGCACCACACCATGGAAGCTCAGAGTCCTTAAAGACACTTCCGCATCCCAGAAAGCTTCCACCTCAGTGGGTGGTTCCTAGTCTCTGGAGACCCTGCCCGCCACCCAGGGATCTCCAGTCTCACGGGGAGCAGAGTCTGTGAGACACTGTGTTTGTCTCAGGGAGCTCCCACCTCAGCAAGGAGCTCAGAGTCCTTGGAAAGGCCGCCTGTGGACCAGGGAGCTCAGGCCTCAGAACGTAGCCCCGAGTCTGTGGAGACACTGCTGCGTCCCGGGGAGCTCGGGCTGCACTGGGAGCTGGGAGTTGCTGGGACCGTATCTGTACTGCAGGGAACTCCTACCTCGGTGGGGAGCTCCAGGTCCCTAGAGACACTGCCCAAGTCCCAGGGTGCTCCCAGTTCAGTGGGGCAGTTCGGCGTCTGTGGAAACACTGCCTGTGTCCCAGGGGACACGGTGGGCAGCCCAGAGTTTGGGAACACACCAATGGGGTGCCAGGGAGCTCCACTTCAGTGTCAAGCTCTGAGACTGCAGAGATGCTATTTGTTTCCAGGGAGCTCCCACCTCAGTGGGGCGTCAAACCTTGTGGAGACAGTCCCTGGGAGAGCTTATCTCAGAGAGGTGCTCAGAGTCAATGCCTGTGTCCCCAGGAGCACCATTTCAGGGCTGAGCTCTGATACCAGTAGAGACACTGCCTGCATCCCAGAGGATGTCCACCTCAGTGAGGAGCTTATTGTTCACAGAGACACTTTCTGGGTTCCAGAGAGCCCTCATCTGCAAGTGTCTCAGATAAAGGGGACACCCTGAATTTGTTCCCCACGAGCTCACACCCTCTTTTTCTGGGGTGTGGGGTGCTGGTTGGGGTGCGTGTGGTGGGGAGTGGGGACAATGGGCTAGGTGGATTGAGTGGGCAGAGAGGGGGAATTGGGGTAGCGACGGAAGGGTCACAAGCTGGCTGGCTTGCTGCCCTCCCCTTCCCCATCCCATTTTTCCTCCTCCCCCTGTCCTCAGTGGCTTACCTGGTAGAAGGCATGGAAGTTTCTTTCACCCACGTGCTGCTTGAGGACCCGAGACTGAGGAGAGAGGGGCAGATGGACTCAGGCCTGGGAATTCCCAGGTGCAAGGCAGGCTGGGGGTCAGAGAGCCCTATGAGGACACTGAGGCCCAGAGAAGGGCCACAGGGAGAGAGAGCCTAGCCCTCCTAAGCTGCACCATTCCCAGGCCTGGGATGGGTCTTAGCCAAGGCTCCCCATGGGGGTCTCCTCAGCCCACCTGCCCACCTTCTCCAGGAGGTAGCTGTGGATGTGTCCCCCGATCGGGTCCCCCTTGAAGTCGAAGTTGATGTCCATGTACTTGCCAAAGCGGCTGGAGTTGTGATTGCGGTTGGTGCGGGCATTGCCAAAGGCCTCCAGCACACAGGTGGACTTGAGCAGCACGTCCTTGACCCTGTGGGGGCAGAGGGGCTGGGGCTCAAGGCAAAGGCTTCCCATCTGGGAAATGCTGTCCCTGCCCCCAAGTCTTCCCCACAGAAGTCACAGCATCTCAGGATGGGTTCCTCTGAACTTGCTGAGACGGAGCCAATGGCCTGGCCTCGCCCAATGCTGCCTCTGAGGTTGTGTGATGGTCACTTCACCTCCGAGAGGCTGGGAAATGCACTTGCCAAGCTGGCTGTGCTCAGCACGGTCTGTATAGCACTGAGGTCCTTGTTTCTCATGGCTACCTCTTTCCCTCCCGGGCCTCAGCTGCAGGCTGGGGAGGAGGGGCCGTTCTGACCACCGGGCCTTAGACCTCCAGCTGCAGGGGTGGGCAGTGGTGCTGGCCATACGTGCTCAGGAACTGACAGTGCTTGTCCCCCCTGAATCCCATCTCACCCATCTTACTGCCTCTTAACAAGAAGAGACCGGCGAGGACACAGGAAGCTGCTTCCATAAGGGACAGCCCTGGTTTCCTGGTTTGCAGGCTCCTGGCCATCACCCACACAGCCACCTGGCATGCTTGGCCATCCTGGCCGAGGCCCACCAGCTTCTCCAGGTTTCCATGGAATCCCCCATGGGGAGCCTGCTCCCCTGTCCATGAGCCATTTCAGGCGTCTCTAGCCCCTGTTGCACTTATCCTCACCCTACCAGTCGCTGCTCCCTCCTCCCAGCTGGTGGCCCATGTCCCTGGGCTAGGTCTCACCCACCCACTGGAGAAGTCCTTGGCATGGGTCAGCCTGTCTCACCTCTGGGTCTGTTGGCGTTACCTGGAAACTTCCCAAGTTCCTGCTGAACTTGGCCTGAGCTAGGCTCCAGTTCCTGTCTCTTGCCCCTAGAGCTAGCCCTTCCGGCCATACTGAGGTCTCTGGCCTGCCATGCTGAGGCCCCGGGCTGCCGGTTGCCACTCACCTCTCCACCTCAGCTCTCTGACTTGGGTTGGTGACGGCAGCAATGTACTGCATGATGTGCTTGCTGGCTTCTGTCTTCCCTGCCCCACTCTCCCCTGCCAGAAAGACCAGAGTCGACAGCATCAGCCAGCTTGGCTCTCTTAGCGCAGCTCCCTTGTGTCCATTCATACCCCAAAGACTGGCAAGATGGGGTCCTAGGGCCCCCACCACGACACAGGGTGCAGGAGATGCTCTAATGGCCCTCCCAAATGTTCACAAATGAAGATGCCGAGGGTAGGGGGCGCCCAGCTGCTGGGACAGATACCTGAGATGACGATGCAGGTGTCCCTGGACCGGTGCTTCATTGCCTTGTAGGCAGCGTTGGCCACGGCATAAAGATGGGGTGGCCGCTCATAGAGCTCTCGGCCCTGGTACCTGGCGATGGCCTCAGGCCCGTACAGGGGCAGCTCCTGGTAGGGGTTCACGGACACCAGCACCTCACCGATGTAGGTGTAGATGCGGCCTTTCTCGAACCTGGACACAGCAGGGGCAGACCTCAGCACTCACAGGCTTATGGGCACCCGCAGGCCTCTCGCCACAGCCCACAGCAGGGCCTGGCCCCAGTAGGCTAGCACTCCCACCGCGAGGGGTTGAGAATGGAGAAGGGAAGGGGGCAGGTGTTGACCTCGCATCTCCCTGGTGCCATCCTGGGTGAGCTGAGCCACTTGGAGCCTGTCCCCATTGCAGCATAGAGTTTGGGGTCCACAGTGTTCTCCACAGGGGTCCCAAGGTCACTGGAATCATGACCACCCATTTTGCAAAGGGAACAGACTTGCCCAGACTGCACTGGGCGCTGCGAGTCAGGGCTGGCTCCCGGGATGAACCCCGCAGGGCAGATGGGGAGATGGGGCTGAGAAGGCGTGACTGGGCTGGGAGGAGAAGGAGGGGCCTCCTTGGCTGTTTCCTGTCTCAAGGCCTGGGCGGGAACCCAGAGACAGAAGGGAACCCCACCCAGCCCCACCCAGATGACAGGGAGGGGGTTGGGGCAACAGTGCCCAGCACCCGATGTACTTGCCTTTGCACCCCCACGCCCGAGCCTGTGGCCAGTGGCTGCTGCCTCTCCCCTGGCACAGCCTCAGACTTCTTGACCCTTCCCTTCACAAACTTGGTCATCAGTGGGGACAGATGTCTGTCCTTCTCTGACCTTTCTGGCCCTGGGAGGAGGACTGGCAGGCCTGCCCCTCAGACCCATCTCCCCTTGGTGTGTGGTACCCACCCCTCCCTGTCTCCCGGCAGCCTGTCTTGGGTGGGCCTGTCCTGAGGTTCCTCTTTCTCCACCACCTCTGACATGGGTTTTCCTGGGTCTAACTCTTGCCCTCCTACAAGCTGGGGGTGGGGGTGCAAGTCACCCACGTCTCCAGGGCTCAGTGTTCTCATCATCAAAATGGAGAGGACAGTGTTTCATAAGCTCATTTTGTAAGAATGAGTAGAACAATGCACACAAAGTGCTTAGCTCATTTCCTGGCTAGCCCTCCTCTCCTTGGGCCAGGCCTGCGGTCTCTCGACTTCTGAGCTTATCGGGGCTCCTGGTCCCCAGGCGCTGCCCAGGGAGCTTCCCGAGGATACCGCAGGAGGCCTTCTGTTCCTCCCTGGGAATCCTGGCATGAAGCCCAGCTATCTGCACAGCCACCCTACTGTGCCATGCCCCCACCTCCCGGGCTTCTCCCTGCCCTCCACCTGCCCTCCTTGATGGTAATTGGGCTCCAATATCACTTCTACCAACTGTGTCCTGTGATACTCCGTGCACCCCACAAGAGCAACACCTCACCCGGTGGGATTGTTTGGACCCTAGGGTGGGGCCTGACTGCTTCATCTCAGTGTCCCCAGGACTCAGGCCAGACCCCATGCATGAGATGACTCGAGGTAGCATCAACAACTGACCGGGAAGTGGCTGGAAGGAGGGCACAGCCCCTGGTGCCTCCTGGACAGAGAGTGCCTGATGGCTGTCTCTCCGAGAAGTGTCATGCCCTGGCCCCATTGGGCAGGAAAGAAGGGGCAGAAGATGCCTGGACTGTGTGGGAGGCAGGGGTGGGGCAGGGTAGGGTGGTGGGTAGCTCCAGTGCTGACTCGACCCCCCTGACAGGGACAGTTGCTTTCTTGTCTGTTCCTGTCCCCTGGGGCCATGCTTTGAGGAGCTCATTTCTGTCCCAGCTGGTCTGGGTGGGTATGTGCCTCTGCCCCCTCCTTGGACAGCAGCGTGCCTTCCTTTTTCCCTCAGATTTCTTCAAGGACTTGAGGTGGGAGACCCTGGGGGAGGGGAGCCTGCGGGGGACCTACCTGAGTTGCAGGTTCCTCATGAAGTCCTCCATGGTCACTTGGTCCAAAAGCACGAAGTCAGGTTTGCCATACTCAGAGCCTTCCTCGTCCTCCATCCTGCCGGCTGGAAACACTCAGAGCAGGTTACCTCACCTTCCTGTGCCTGCCGGCAGGGCAGTGAAAAGAAGGGGAAGAGAAGGCTGGGGAAGGCCCCTGCACCCCCGCCCCACCAGCCTCCTCCAGTGCTGGTGTGAAGTAGGAAGTGGGTTCTGGTCCTGGGAGGGGCTGCCCTCCCCACTTGTTACTCCCTCCCCCTTGAGGTGCTCTAAAACCTGCTTCCTGTCCCTGTGCCCCACAGGGAGCTGTGCCTAACGGTCTGGCCCGCTTGCACGCCAGGGCCGAGGGGCCGGATGCTGGATCCTCCCAGCTCTGCAGGGTTCTTTGCTGGCCTCCTTCGGAAGCTCCCCTCCACCCACAAGCAGGAGACAAGACTCCGTGGGTTGGTTTCCAACCCTGGCAGCACTTTAGAGTCACCTGTGGGACTTTAAAGATTTTTTTGACATGATCTTTGTTACCCAGCTGTGTGTGTCTGTCAAGTCAGAACTGAACACTAGATGCGATCTACTGTATGTACATTGTACCTTAATACAAAAATGAGAAAGGATCCTAATGCCCAGGCCTTTGGGGTGGGGGTAACAGCCTTCTTTGAAGTGTGAAGGTCACACTGGGGTGTAGATGAGCAAAGCTTCTCATATGACCTGCCAAGGGCCAGTGGTCCTAGCACTGCAGTTCTCCACCCCAGCCACGGGGGAGGGACAGAGGACCCTAGAGCATCTTCTGCATGGGGCTGGCTTTCAGTGGGACCCCTGTGCTGGTAACTGTCCTCTGCCTTGTACTTGCATCCGGCCGATACCCCATAAACTGCAGTGAGGACCAGGCATATGACTTTGTGCAGTCCCTGTGCTTTGAAGATGAGGCAGCACATTTGGGGAGCCACCGCATGTGGGCAGTGGCCAAAATCTCCAAACACTGCATTCCTGACACTTGGTGCCCTCCTCCTGGAAGAAGAGGGAGGGGTGCAGTTCTCTTAGCCTCCAGGCAGACTGGGAAAAGTTCTTTCTCATCCCAGGACCGACTAGGGCAGGTCACACCCATTCTCTAGCAACACTGGGGCAACTCTTTCATCAAAGGTCAGATGGACACATTTCTCTCTCATCCTACAAACAGACTGGGGGCATTTCTCTTTCACCCCTTCCCTCATACAGGCAGGTCAGAGGGCAGACTCCAGAATTCCCAAACTTCAGTCATTCATGTGCTGCCTTTGAGATTTGTTGTACTCATAAGCACAAGTTTAACTATTGTCTTTCAGTCATCCCACTTTTTAAAGTAATCCATATGCAAGTTAAGGTTATTTATTATTTATTTATTATTTATTTATTTATTTTGAGATGGAGTCTCTCTCTGTCGCCCAGGCTAAAGTGCAGTGGTGTGATCTCAGCTCACTGCAACCTCCGCCTCCCAGGTTCAAGCAATTCTTCTGCCTCAGCTTCCCAGGAAGGTGCGTGCCACCAAGCCTGGCTAATTTTTGTATTTTTATTAGAGATGGGTTTTCACCGTGTTAGCCAGGATGGTCTTGATCTCCTGACCTTGCGATCCACCCATCTCGACCTCCCAAAGTGCTGGGATTACAGGCATGAGCCACTGCCGTTAGGTTATTTTTTTCTCTCAAATACCTTAAAGTGAATACATTCTTGGTAAAACTGAAAGTACTTATTCAAGTACCTAATAAAACTGAGTCATGCACTATCTGGGATAAGAGGGCACTGGCCTGAAAAATCCCCAAATTTCCAAGTGGGTGGCCTGTGGCTCCACCCTGGGCTAGACCTGGAGCTCCTCTTGGGCAAATTCAAATTCAGTCTTTCCAAGCTCTGACAAGCGTGGCCCCCTCCCCACCCCCAGGCTGTTGGGCTGGTGTTTTTGAAGGGTTTCCCAAACCTACACTCAAGTCTGGGGATTCTTACCCAGACTCTTGCCAGCTCATCTCTCTTTTCAGTTTCACTTCCCCAGCACCCCCAGCCCTCAGCGAGTCAAGCCAACCAATGGAACCAACATGGCTGTGTTCCGGTAAAATCTTCAGGTCACCAAAATCTGAACTTCACAAACTTTTCGTCTGTCATGTAATTATACTCTTTTGGGGTTTTTTTCCCCCTCACTAACCAAGTCAAAAATGTCAAGACCATTCTTAGCTCAGAGATTTGGCCGCAGGGCGGTGGAGGGGGGGGCGGGGAGGAATCTGCCCACCCTCGCTTTAGCTGCTGCTGGTTGCTGGGACCCTGGGCGTCCTTCCTTGGTAGTTTGCACAAATTTGCCATGCATCACCTCATTTGATCCTCGTGACCCATTTAAGAGTTACTATTATTTTCACTTTACATCTATTAAACTGAAGCTGAGATGACATCACTGCAAAGGAAGTTCCCTCCTGGGTCAACAGACTTCTGGGCCCTTCCAGCACTGAATTCAGTGGCTCCTACTCAAACCCCAGGGAAAAGCCAGTCAGTCAGTCATGGCCTGCTCCTCAGAAGGCAGGACAAGTGCTAGCTCTATCTGCAGCTTCCCCAGGGCTTGCTCCTTACAGGGTCTGACTGGTAAAACAGGTACATGAACAAAGGCGGAGGTCCCTAATGGAAGGACAGCAAGGAGGGGCCCCCACCAACTCAAGCCTGCTGGAGACTGAGGAAACCTTCCCGGCCCTGGTTAAGTTTCGCTCTCATTATCTCATCAGTTTCACCATGCCTTCCTCCACCAGGGCTCCTCCTGCTGCACCTACAGGCCCCCTGCCCTCACCCTCCCTGATGCAACCTTCAAATCCCAAGCATGCTCTGCTGCCGCTGACCTTTGCAGCAAATCCCCAGCCCCAGATAAATGTCCCCTTTCATAGGAAAGTTGCTTTTTCAGCTTCTCTACACAACTGTACCACAACTTAGGATTTATATCTAAAATTTTTACCTAATCTGAGGTGATACCATTGGGCTAGTTGCAGGGAAATGGCTCTACCAAGGCACCTTAGAAATTACACGTCCTCTCATAGGCCACAGGGCACACAGCGCACCTGGGCCTCTTGGAACTGAGGGTGGAGGCCTGGAAGGCACTACCGTAAGGCAGCTCCACTCCCTGCCCCATCCCTGTAGGAGGCTAAGAGTTGCTGTCTCCTGGGATTCTTTTCTAAGCAGGGATGAGGCTTCCGATTCATACCCTGCTCCCACCATGGTATGGCTGCAGACTAGACAACCTGCTCAGCTGCAGTATATTAGTGGCTCAACAAGGAAAGATGCGTATCTACTGTTGCAGGCCCCTTTGGGAGCTTTTCCATTCACTGTCAGTAGCAAATTGAATGTTAAGTCACTAGAGGCCAGGTGTGGTGGCTCATGCCTGTCATCCCACCATTTCGGGAGGCCTAGGTGGGTGGATCACCTGAGAGTAGTTCAAGACCAGCGAAACTGTCTCTACTAAAAATACAAAAATTAGCCAGGTGTGGTGGCATACGCCTGTAATCCCAGCTACTTGAGAGGCTGAGACAGGAGAATCGCTTGAACCCAGGAGGCAGAGGTTGCAATGAGCCAAGATCGTGACACTGCCCACTAGACAGAGCAAGACTTCATTAAAAAAAAAAGTCACTGGTACTTTAATGGCTCTATTTAATTGGCCTGGACTGCTGCAACATTCCTTGACAATGTCACCACCAACCTGGGGCACATCACACATACTAAGAGTACTACTTCTGTAACTTGTTTGAATGCTTAGGTGAATGCCTGAGACTATTTGAAGAGACAGTGTCTTATGGAGCCAACTGTTAAATGTTCCTAGAACCCACTCAAGATCTCAAGGTAAAGCTCCTGATGACAGCATCTTTGCGCACCAGCACCCCACTGCAGAATTCAGCCAGCTGGATTTGGCTCGTAGTAACCCTCACCACAGCTTGCCACTGTCAGTTCAAACTGGTGGCACATGCACATGAGGTGACCAGAGTTCCAAGTGGCAATTTACAAGGCATGAGCATTGAGAATGATGAAATACTTGAGGCTCCCTTAGACTTTGGTGACAACTCCTTCAAGAAGACGCCAGACTAAATCACATACTTAAATCCGTATTTATTAAATATCCCTTGTTTTCCATTCAGGAGATACCAGAAAGGCCCAGGTCCTGGAGCACAGCAAGGCTTCTCATTCTGGAAGCAGAGAACCTGGCACCCAAACCTAGGGCGAGAGGTCTGTCGGATCCAGAGTCCAGGCCCAGAACCGGAAATTCCTGACTCCTTCCAGAAGGGCAGTAAGGAAGGTTTCAAACTTGCTCAATTAAGGTGCCAAGACTTGCGTTCAAATTCGGCTCCACTCCTCAGTAGGTGTATTAACACGGGCATGCCTCATCTGTAAAAATGAGATTAGAAACACTTCAGAGACCTGTTGTGAAAATTAAGTGACATAATTCACACAGCTAGGATTGTAAATCCCTATTGTCATCAGCGACAACAGAACTGACCCCAACTTACCAACTTCTGAACCCATTCCCACCATGAACTGAGAGGCCTGTGCCCATGGCCTTTCCAGGGGCTGAAACACTGGCCACTGACCTAAGGTAACTTCGGAGAAAAGGCTATATATGTTGAAACCAAAACACTCCCAAGAATCAGGGTCCATGAGTCCAAATACTAGACAACTGTTTGTCCCAAAATAGTCTTGTGAGCTTGAAGACAATTAACCTTTCTGGGACTCAATCACCTGACTTACAACATAGTAAGGTCAAAATAAGGTAACGGTTTTTGAATTTTTCCTTAGCCAGGTGACTCTAAATAAAACAGGAGTGAAGTGACTTGCCAGGCCAGACCTTCCTGCACACTTACCCCTGCACAGGTTCCAAGGAACAGCCTGGCAGCCACTGAAGGAATCGTGTCTCAGGTCAGGTCCCCGCTAGCTCTGGCATCCTGGGACTGCTGCTGCAGAAATACGGAGGGACGGCAGGCACTCTTGTGCCATGTGTTGGGTCAGGGACATACACAGAGCAGAGCCACTGGTGAGAGGTGGCTGACAAGAACTTGCAGCTAACAAGGTAGCCTCCCAGTTTTGTGGACACTGGTAGAAAATACAAAATCTCTCGATTAGGGACAAGGGACCATTGACTATTCAAAGCAATAGCAACACACAGAGCATCAGTATTTTCCATGACCCTCCCAAGCCCCAGTTTCCATAGGGTGATGCAAGGGGAGTCACGGGCACCTGCATAGGCATTGGGCTACTACAGGAAAGGAGTGCAGGACTCTACCCTTTCACAACGCACTGCAAGAATGCCTGCTCTCTGCTCTGGAAGAAGGGACTACCTCTCACATTCCAAGGCTGTCTGCTGCACAAACATCCTTAAAAAAGATACTAAGGGAAAAGGGGTAGCCAAGTGCTTTACTCACAAGTCTGCTTGAACATGAGACTCAAGGAGGGCGCTCAGCAGGCCTGGGGTGTTCAGCAACTGTTCCTGGACTGAAAAGACAGAATCAGCTGGAAGCCTCACCTTTAAGAGAGGTGACCCCACCACCCAGAGGAACACAGGAGCTGTGCTGCTTGCGCTATGACCAAGCCAGCAACACTCTTCCCATCCCAGCCAATCCCTGAATACACCTAACAACCCTCACACCAGGACAAGAACTTGAGGGCATCCATCTCCTTCCCCCCAGCTTCTAGATTCCACTCAAGCTGCAGGGTTAGATGCCTGGCATCAAACCCTGATCTGCTGGTTTGTGGCTGGGCAACCCTGAACACATAATTCTGACCTTGGGCCCCTCTTCTGTACTGAACCTAAAATTACCTCATGGTGATGCCTCAAAGATTTAAAACAAGAAGAGGTTTGGTGCAAAACAGGTGTTTGACAACATCAGCACCTTCCTCTTCCAAGAGTTTTTTTCTTTAAGATGAGCACACAATGACTTCATCCTCCACTAGCTCCTGGGGCACTCAGCCCCTCTGCAGAGCTAAGCCTTTGGTTCTTTTTGCTTTGCCTTGTAAATATCCTGTCCCATTAGTCTCTCAGGGCAAGACTCTTCCCTGTTTATTCTTCTCCACACTGTTTCAGCTCCTACTTTTACCACCCCTCTTGGATTCATCCTCAACTTTTAGAAGGCCTTTGCTTTAAGTGTATATTAAAATGAAATTTGTACTGAGCCTGGAGCATAGCAAACACTCAGGATTCTCTCCACCTCTCACACCAGCATTGTCCAAAACAACTTCCACAGCGACAGAAATGCCCTCTAATCTTTGCGGTCCAATATAGTAGCCACTGGCCACCTGCGTGCCAAGTGGCTGCCACATTCATTAGATGGCTGCAAATCTATACAAAGCCCAGCACACCAGATCCAGGAGGGAGCAAGTCATTGTCTGAAATTTCTATAACCTTGCTCTGGATGGAGCAGGGCAAGGCCTCAAACCATTTCAAAACTGTTCTAGCAAGCACTGAAGGAATGCATAGGATCACCACAGACCCAAGCACGCTGGAGGCTTGCTACCCTCATTCACCCAAATCCCTCACACCCTAGGAATGTGGCAGTCCCCTCTCACTGAGCACCAGTCCTTGCTGGAGGCTGCAAAAAGAGACCTGAGGATTCAATTAGACACCTGAGCTTGGTTACAGACCAGAGCTACTGATGACTCTCAGGGAAAGATCTTTTTGGGTGAGGAAGAAGGGAAGGTGTCTTGGAAGAGAATCTTATTAAATTTTTATATAGATCAGACAATACGAACTAAAATCCCACCTTATTCTTTGACATTACAATTATTCTTTGACATTACAATTCTAGCGTGGCTCTTCACTATGACCAGACACATCCTTATCATCACGTAGTTAATATAAATACAGCCTTTTCTCCTTCGTTTTTTTCTCATGTATCTTACACCTCTGAAAACACTTCTGAACGACTATGTAGGCCAGGACACATGAATCAGATTTCATTTTCCCCATGAAATAATGGTTCAGAGAAAACGCAGGCCTAGCTCCAGGAAGGCAGAGTTGGGGTCTCTGCAAGGTGACTTACCGGGGCATCTTGCAAAAGAGTTGCTGTGACAGTAAGCTCTTCCACTGGGAGACCATCACCTCAGCCATGTCTCCCCTCTAGAGGGGAACAAATGCAGTCAGCTCCAGCTTGTGCCTCTGAACCATTATCCAGCTCTAGCTCCTTGCAACGCCTGGGCCCCTCTACATCTTCTCTTGCAGCTGGTCTACCCGCCATCCCATCCTTTCCGGCGAGGTCCCTCCAGACCACACGTCCCATCCCGCCTGGGGTCCAGCCAGGTTATGCAGAAGCCTTACTTCTCTGCTGAAAGAGAAGCACGACGTTACTCATCCCTAACCCCTGGGTCTCTTCCGGGAAAAATGTTCCGAACGCGCTCAACCGCCTCTTGCGAGGAAGCAGCACGTGCAGTGAAGACTTGAGCTCCAAGAACCGCCGGCGCCACCCCCTCCCCCCACTGCAGCCCAGCCTCCCGCGCCGTCCGCCACTGAGCCTCGATCCCCCACGACCCCTACCTGGGCTCAAGAATAGTCAGGCAACACGTGGGGGCCAGGATGGCGGTGGATAACTAAGCTGCGGGAGAATGCACCGCGAGGAGTACGGAGTACAGAAGCAGACAGCCAAGACTGACGCCCGCACGGCGCCGTGCACTTCGACGTCGACGTCACCGCGTAGCCCCGCCCCGAAACCGTGAGCGGCCCGAGCCACGGCGTTTGGGGCAGGTGACATCATGGGCGCGGGCTTTGAGGGGTGGGCTTGGGCTTAAAGGTTAGAGTGCTGGGGCTGGGCTGTGCTAGAGGCGTCTGCGTGTCAACAAAGTGGAGTCTCGCAACTGCCCCTGTTACCCTCCTTTAGTGACCGGAAGGCTGAAGTTATGTAATCTGCCCCCGCAACTAAAAGGATGAGTGGCCGGGACGGGCGTGCTGAGCCCCGAATGGGTGGTGTCTTCCCGGTGCGGCGGCACAGGCAGGGCCGGGCGGAATCTAAGCACGTGGTAGACACGGGGCCTCGGGAATGAACAGGAGCCTGCCTGTGGGAGCAAGTGGGAAAGGTGATGCAGGTGGAAGGGCAAATACAAATTATACATAGGGTTTAATTTTCCCTGCGGAAAATAAGGGACGAGAAACCACATCGCATTCTCTTTTCTTTCAGAATTTCAGCCTCTCTCCTTTACTCAAGTCTTTCTCTTCTACGGCCAGGTTCAACTCAGGAATGTTTGTTGGAAGCCATCTCCTTGAAGTGTAATTGTTAGACCCGGGCGCGGTGGCTCACGCCTGTTATCCCAGCACTTTGGGAGGCCGAGGCGGGAGTATTACCAGGTCAGGAGTTCAAGACCAGCCTGGCCAACATGGTGAAACCTCGATTCTTCTAAAAAAAAGTACAAAAATTAGCCTGGCATGGTGATGGGCACCTATAATCCCAGCTACGCGGGAGGCTGAGGCAGGAGAATTGCTTCAACCCGGGAGGCGGAGGTTGCAGTGAGTCGGGATTGCACCACTGCACTCCAGCCTGGGCAACAGAGCAGGACTTCATCTCAGGAAAAAAAAAAAAAGGTGAAAGAAAAAAAAAAGTGAAAAAAAAAAAAATGGCCGGGTGTGGTGGCTCACGTCTGTAATTCAAGTACTTTGGAGGCCAAGGCAGGCGGATCACCTGAGGTCGGGAGTTCAAGACCAGCCTGACCAACATGGTGAAACCCCATCTTATAAAAAATTTAAAAATAGGGCCTGGCGCGGTGGCTCACGCCTATAATCCCAGCACTTTGGGAGGCCGAGGCGGGTGGATCACGAGGTCAAGAGATCGAGACCATCCTGGTCAACATGGTGAAACCCCATTTCTACTAAAAATACAAAAAATCAGCTGGGCATGGTGGCGCGTGCCTGTAATCCCAGCTACTCAGGAGGCTGAAGTAAGAGAATTGCCTGAACCCAGGAGGTGGAGGTTTCGGTGAGCCGAGATCGCGCCATTCCACTCCAGCCTGGGTAACAAAGAGCGAAACTCCATCTCAAAAAAAAAAAGAATTAAAAAAAAAAAAAAAGGTGAAAAGAAACGTTAAGGGACAAAAGGGCCAAGCGTCTACTTTCTTGGAAGGTCAACAGCTTAACTTGTCACCTGACTCCAAATTGCAAAACCTACATAATGTGATGGGTTATCTCTACTTAGCTGTATAAAGAGTGAGTTTCTGTCTTTGTGTTGCCTTTAGCAGGTTGTATGTGATGTATAGCATATTCTCGTCTCCTTCTGATGTATGCCTGAAAAGAAAATGAGCAATTTGGCTCTAGAAGAATAAACAGTAATAGCTGAGGAGATGTCAAAGTAAACTTGCAAGGTTGCTTCCGTTGGGGGCCAGCTACTCAGGAGGCTGAGATCAGAAGATCACTTGAGCCCTAGAGATTGAGGCTGCAGTGCGGTGTGATTGTGCCAATGCACTCCAGCTTGGGTGACAGACCAAGACCCCATCTAAAAAACAAAAAACCAATCAGAAAAGATGCCAAAACATAAAAATCACATAATCAGAGTTTAATTGTGATTATGTTGGGAAACTGGAAGTTAGAAACAGGATGGAGACTGGCACAAAGAGAGAGACATGACAGCAGTATTTTAACTGCTTGTCAGAATACTAAAAATAACTTTCTTCAAACCCACATCTCAAATGAGTAATTCCATTGTTCTTCCAGGCCAAGTAGTGAAGCTAGATTTTTTTGCTCCTTAGTTCAGCTAAAATCCAGGTTCTTGTCTCCTGATTAGGAAAAATTAGGCACATGGACACACTGAAGTGTGAGAATTTATTAAGTAAAAAGAAAGCTCTCAGCAAAGAGGAGTTCCTACCAACAGGCTCCCACCCCACAGGTTGAATACCAGGCCACCACACTGGAGCTGAAGAGGCCTGTCTTCTCCCCTACATAAGGCGTGAATTCCTGGTGACTCCACCCCATTCCCTCAATGCACATGTGGGCTCCTAGTCTGAGCCGCTCCACACTGATTTATTTCCCTTACTGCACATGTGTTAAGAGATGGAATTGTTCACCATGGGCATGTTTGGGCAAGCCCCCTGTGCATAATGACCTGGATGGCATTTGGCTGTCTCCTGTCTCTATCAGTAGCATATGTAGGGGAGGAAAGATTAATTTTCTTGCTACCCTTCTAAGTTAACAGCTGGAGTCCTTGTAACAAAAGTTAGATTTTTTTTTTTGAGACAGGATCTTATTCTGTCTCCCAGGCTAGAGCACAGTGGTGCTATCACGGCCCACTGCAACGTCTACACCCTGAGGCTCAAGTGATCCTCCCACCTCAGCCTCCCAACTAGCTGGGACTACAGGAGCTGGCCACTGCACACACCTGTCTAATTTAAAAATTTTTAATTTTGTAGAGATGGCTTCCCATCATGTTGCCCAGGCTGATCTCCAGCTGCTGGGTTCAAGCAATCCTCTTGCGTTGGCCTCCCAAAGTGTTGGGATTACAGGCGTGAGCTACCATGTCCAGCCCAAAAGACACATTAACAAGAGAAAAACAAATGGAACTATATTAACATGTATACTTTGCATATACATATGAGATACCCAAGAAAATAAGTAAATCTCAAAGGAGTGGCTTAGAATTCAGGTTTAAGTACCATCTTCAGCTAAAAACAAAGAAGGGAGTGGGGAAGGCCAGTTTTGTGAAGAAGACCTGGAGAAGCACAGTAAATAAGTTGCTGCCTTCTCCATTGATAAGGGTCTCTGATGATTTAGAGTCATCCTTCTCTTCCTGGGGCAGAGAGAGAGACACCCTTACAAAGAGAGATTTCTTTTAAGACTGTACATTTCCCTTTCAAAGGAGTAGCTTATGCTGTTTTCATAGCTTCTGTTTCTCAAAATTATCAGCTCAAAATAGTCCTTATGCCATGGAGGCATATTTTGGGGTAGCATATTCTCACCTCCTACAGATGTATGCCTGAAAAGAAAATGAGCAATTTGGCTCTAGAAGAATAAACAGTAATAGCTGAGGAGATGTCAAAGTAAACTTGCAAGGTTGCTTCCGTTGGGGGCCACACAGTGTGGTTGTGTTTCTGAGGGGTCATTCTGATCCAGAGTTGATTTGGTCCTTCATGATTTATAGGCCTGGAAACTGGATATTAAAATTCACTGATAAATCACTCGTATGAACTCTAAAGTGTCTTTCCTTCACTAATGAAGTCTATATGGATTTTATCAAATGCACAACAATTGAAGTGTGACGTTATATGTCAAAAAATAACTCAGAGGCTGGGCGTGGTGGCTTGCACCTGTAATCCCAGCATTTTGGGAGGCCGAGGTGGGCAGATCACGAGGTCAGGAGTTTGAGACCAGCCTGACCAACATAGTGAAACCCCATTTCTGCTAAAAATACAAAAATTAGCCAGTGTGGTGGCATGCACATGTAGTCCCAGCTGCTTGGGAGGCTGAGGTGGGCAGATAACTGGAGACTGGAAGCTGAGGGTGCAGTGAGCCGAGGTGGTGCCACTGCACTCTAGCCTGGGTGACAGAGCGGGACCTGTCTCAAAAAATATATATATTGGCCAAAATCTGGGGAAAATGCAGATCTGGGAACATTGTCTTTGAGTAGGCCAATTAAGGGTAAATTTTCAGTGTTTAGGTGTTTCCTGACAACCCCACCTAGGCCCTATGAGCATCTATGAGAAGCTATGTTCAGGTAATGTTGCCAGTGCCCCTCCTCCTCAGACTGGCTCGAGGTACATAATTTCCCTTATTAGAGTTTCTTTCAGATACAAGGAGGAATCTCACGCAGTGCATACCTCCAAAGGAGCTCATTCTAGTAGAGAAAATGTCCTAAACATGGTTAACTAGAATCACAGACATACAAATACAGTTATCTGGAAACTGGAGGCGGGAAAAAATGCACACAGAGATTTAGTAGAAGATGTGATTCTTGAGCTGAGTCATAAAGCTCAACAGCCAAATTCACCCAGAGCCTAAAAGACTTGGGGTTATTAACCTACCATGACCAGGGAGACCGCCCCAGAGGAAAATGGGCTGTTTCTCATTATAAGGGAATAGGAAGGGGATTTTGTAAGGTTTAGGCTGTCCCTGAGTGATTCTGAAAAGGGGAGAGGAGGAAGTGAGTATCATGGCTATAAAGTTGCTTTCATGAAGCCTGGGCAGTTTAGTAATTGGGTACCTTGGTCGTTTTTTGTTCAAAACGTGGGAGCCATACAACAGGCTGGGAGGTTATTGGTAAGAAAGCAATAATCACTCAAAAGTGGGTGGCTGTTAGGACACTTTACAGCCAAGATGTGACCGGGAGAGAAAGATTGTCTTATGTTATAATTGTCTCATTGGTGTCTGTTATGAGAAACTGAATATACAAATAGACAATAGCTGGACCATTTATACAACTGAACTCTGACCTACAAGCTGCAGCAACCTCCTCAGGAAACCAATTCGTTATGTACATCAACCAGCCCAGGAAACCAGCCTGCTATAAATCAGACTTGCAGGAGGCTGGGTGTTATCTCTAGTGACAATCCAGGAGTAACTTTTGTAACAGCCCGAAAAGGCTAGGACTTAATTAGTAACCGGAACCCTATCTCTCACCAGATACAAAAATTAACTCAAAATGGACCAAAGATTGAAATCTAAGACCTGAAACTACAAAACT